TAGCTCTACGTCTGCCGAAGGCACAGACGTCCATCCCCGTGAACACTGGGACGCAACTCAATGGGAAAGTAAAGGATTCTGATTTCAACCGTTGCGTATATTAGCTGCGACACATGAATCAAGATGCTATGACCGAAAACATTTGATTGACAGATGACCGTTGATATATGATTGGCCGAATTTAGGTGTTCAGGCTGACGTAGAACTAACTGGCCTGCAGAAGATAACGGAAAAAAACACAGATTTTAAGACAGAATTTTTTTAAAATAGACATTTTCTAACTTTTGGGATAATATCGTCTGATAAAGATTATATTTATATACATGTTTAAGCCAGAATGATTTGACATTTAAATATGATTTCTCTATGACTTTAAAGCAAACCTGTAAATGACCAAAACCTCCCATATATATTGAATCAGATCAGCATCACTGATCTTCCAATTTAAAGGAATCAATCGCTGCTCCTGTTGTTTTAATAGATTACAGATTAAAACCAGGTTTTTTTTTCCCCCTGGTCTGCATTTCAAATAGATAAACTATATAATGTGAGGCAGGAACTGCTGTGTTTTACCAGCAGCGCAGCAATGAAAATCTATAGATCTACTTCAGATTTCCATCCAACTGTCGACTTTTAACGGCAGCTTCCTGTCCCTTCAACATCACGGCTCCATATCTCTGCAGCCTGCATGCCATGCGTACCTTCCTGAGGAGGCTGATGGTGATCTCCACCGGGACGATTTTGCCTTCTTTGATGTAGGTGTCGATGAGCTGTCCGTACTCGGACCCTTCTCTGCCGCGCTCTGCCCTCAGCAGATCTCCCGCTGACAGATGAGTGTAGCTGTAGGCCTGAAAAACACAAAACAAAACATTTCTGCCTTCGTTCTAATTCGTCTCTAACACGAGAAATCCCACAGATACGAGAATTTCCCTCAGCCCCTTCAGTTTTGGTTTTAGCTCAAGCCTCTCTCTTTGAGACTGTTTTACCTGAGAGCAGGGGGTGGAGGGGGGAGATCATATTTGTAATTAAATATTCCCATCTGCACATTTGTAATCTTCTTTAGTACTTAAACTAGTTCGTTGTTAGATTTTTAGTTATCCGAGCAGATACCTCTATTAATTTTTATATCTTAGGTTTTTATTTCTATTTTTTTTATGCTATGGTTCATTATAGTTTATTATGCACCGTGGGGTTGAGAGGACTGCAATTTCATCTGTGTTGTATGTTTACCATGTAGCACATTTGACAATAAAGTTGAGTTGAAAATATAACTAGGTCTACGTCATCAGTGTCACCAACAGCGCAATGATTTCAGCGCAGCGATCAGACGATAACTGATCTGATCTAAGATGAAAATAGCTGCATGAGATGGAACGCTGTAGAAAGCAA